GAGGGAGGGAGACGAAAACATCTTTTTTTCTTTTATCTATCTGAACCTGAAAACCAGGAAATCGTTAAAGCTCAAAAAGTAACATTTAATTCATATCAGACCTGAAGGAAGAGGTCCCTTCCATTGGTGCCTCTATTTTTTCCTTTTGTCATTGTCACCCACATGTGAGTGGAATCAAGGCAGCCTCTCCATGCCAGACACAATCCCATGTCAATACAAAAATGGTTCTTGGTCCATTTGTTAAAGACACTTGGAATAACTGCACCATTTCTGGATTTTTAAGCAAAGGATAAGGGAATTTGCTTCAATTGTTACAGCAGGAACCTGTAGGTAGTGTAGGGCAAGGTAAGAACTCTTTCACCTAAATGTCATAATAAATTTTGTCAGGCTGACATTTATTGGCCTGCAGAATAGTCTCAGGGTTTGGGGACATGTTCTGTATTAAGGTGCCTTTGCTGTAGCTGGGACATTTTACTGGGGAGAGCTGGACCCAGTTCCTCAGCACTTTCTGGGGCAGACACAACACATCATCATCTGTCAGAGCTGTTTGGCTCAATAAAACAGTTTCACCCTGATGTCTGAATTTCTTTACTTGTGTGGGTTTAAATCAAATCCCCCAAGTTACTTGGACGTGGTTGGGTTTGGGTTTTTTTTGTAGCTCACTGTTAATAATTGGTCGATTGCAACTTTTCTTGTGGTCGCCTTGCTGACAACATCTGTCCAATCTTTCTCTCTGTGGCCTCTTGGAACCTTCACTTTTAACACCCACACAGAGAAGATATTTCAAGATATTTCCTCTGAAGTTTATACAAAGTAAATAGAAGTTTTTGCTCTGAAAAGTACTGCACAAAGCAGATCTTTCTTCATCAATTCTTGCTGAAATTTCTTTGCCTGCATTTCAGAACTCCTGTGCTAGACCAGGGTCTCATCCAGTAAAAGCTTTAAATCTCAGGTTTGTGTTTTATTGAGGAGTTTTCTGCTTTGTTTTCTTTTTAAAATGACAATATGGGACATACACAAAATGCTGTAGTTTTGCATGGGTTCAAGTTATTTTCTTAATAATTTATATGATCCATTGCTTTCTTCTGCTTTCTCCTGCATGTTATACACCTGGTAAAACCACATTTCTGCAAATTGTCTGTCTTCTAAACAATTACCTAAGCTGCAAATCCAGAGACACTGCTTCTTTCTGGCTAAAGAGTTGCACCCTACCCAGATAATCTCTAAATTTTGGCATATTGGTCTCAAAACCCCTTCCTTTTGATGGGTATTATCTTTTGAAATATGTATTTTTTTATTTTTGTTTTAGAAAAGAAATACAGAAATACAAATGTAGGTTTTACACATAATTCCTGGGCTTTTCAGATAGGTAAAGAGAAATAAATGTACTACAGGGTTTTAATCAGGCCTTTTCCTCTTTCTCACTTATTTTAGTGCCTTCATTTGTAGCACAGTTCTTCTTACACTAGTCCTGGCCTATTATTAGGGTTTTTTAAACTATTATTTTTTTCTAAATAACAGTGTAATTTAATAGAGTTAAATGTTTCTCTGCCAGTGAGGAGGCTTGGCAGAGTCTAAGCACCTTGGTCATCTCTTCCTGAGTTGTCTGTGTGCTAAAGTGTTTTTAGAATTATTCTATAATATGCTGCTACAGCAGCTTAACCTTAAGCTTGAATATATACATTAAAGTCAGTGACTCTCCCACGTGTTTAAGTGCTTTTCTGGGTGATGACATGTCAGTATAAAATTCTGTAAATATGCCTAAAGGATCAGGGTTAGTTATGACTTTCCCCAGTAATGAAAAAGGTAAAACAAATACAATTCAACAAATGACAAGTGAATCACCTAAAAGGTCTAGATGAAGGTCCTGGATGTGGAGTCAGGTCCTCGCTGTATTGCTCAGCAAAATCTGCTCCTTTCAGCAGCTCAGAAATCTCACTGTCAGGTTTAAATTTCAGTCCAGTGTGTGAATGTGGGTATTTTTCTTCTCAGCAGTTTCAAGCTATAAAATATCCCCCCTGGAAAAGGAGCAGCAGCATCCCAGTGTAAACTCACACTCCAACTTTCAGAGCGGTACAAGACGGGCAACAGGCTCCAGTCTGAAGATCACAGATGTGCTTTGTTCTCATGAGTAAATATTTTGGAATGTCACAGTGGAAAACACTTCCAAATATTTTGTGTTCAGCAATTCTTGTCATTTACAACCTTGCTCCATTCCTTTTCTCTGCGTGGAATTCCGTGCCCTGCTAGTGCGCGGTGTGCTAATTTCAAACATCCAGCTTGCACAGCAGAGCTTCCCAATGCCGTGTTTGTATAAAAAAAACCATGCAAAATACATGTCTGGTATTGAGGGGAGCTGTAACATGCTGCTTTCTTTTCAGGAGATAGCTGAACTGAGGACAACCATTTCCTCCCTGACAGAGAAGAACAGCCGGCAGCAGCTTGCGGCGGAGCAGCGGCTCCAGGAAGTTGCACAGAAGTTGGAAGATGAGAAGCAGCAGCTGATGACAGATAATGACAGAGCAATCAAGGTAATCTGGGGATTTCAGTCGCTGATGCTGCTGCCTGGGTGAGGGTAATTAAAAGTTCTGAATGCAGGGATGGTTCCTGCTCACACAGAGCTCGCCCAGAAGTCCCCAGACCTCGTCTTTGATGGAGCTGATGACTCAGGTTCCCTTTCCTTTAGCTGATCCTGTGCCTGCATTTGGCAAATCTAATCCATCCACGTCAGCCAAACCCTTGAATCTTTCCTGTTCTCTTTCTTTTTCTACTGGCCCTGATGTTTTGGTGTATTTTCAGCACCTTTATGCTTTCAGGGCTTGAAAGAGAGGAAAGGTGGAAAATAGCAGAGTGAGGCAGCAGCATGGCCTGGGCTGCAGCCTGGTTTTCACAAACCTTCCAACTTTCATTTTAAGGCTACATTGAAGGAAAGTTTGTCCTTAGCTTCCACTGAAAAATACAAGCAAAGTCTGTGCTGAATGTTAAAGGAATAAAGGATTTGTTATCTGTAGTTTTATGCATATTTTATATTATTTTTATACAGATTTATGCATATTTTGCATCAGAATTCTGTTCTTTGGCCTTTCTCATTGTTTTAAGACACTGAATAAGCAGATTGTTGTTCTTGCTGCTTTGACACCTTGACTCAAAGTGGCTGCAGAGAATCTCACCTGTAGAAGTGAGCAGAATTAGTTTTTAAATATGTTTTCTTCTCAGAGCAGTAAAGAGCAATGGGAAAATTTTGAAACTGGCATTTGCTCTGCTTGACAACACCTCATGAGAAGTTGTATAGAAGAAGGAAATTCCTTTTCCTTTTTAAAGACATTTAATCATACCAAAGAATTACATTATTAAATGTAAAAATTAATGAAAAAAATCAACTCCTACAGTTTATGTCATTTGTTTTGTGCCTGAAAGATACCACAAAAGCTTTTAAATGTTGGAAATCCATTGGATAATGGTGCTGTTAATGCTGTCCTCTATACTGGAATGACTTGCATTCAGTTGTCATTACTGTCTCATCATCTGCAGAGTATCCTTTTTCCTTTCTTTCATCAATTTTTTAATTATCATTATCTTTTCTTAAGGAAAATGTCTGCCTTTATTTCTGTGCTTGTTGAGGAAAAAAAATTTATTTCTGATCATTCTGTGAAGGGTGTAACTATAAAAATGTTGGCTCTATTCTCTTATACAGATAAAATCACCACAGGTAAGTTATTTTATCACCAGGTTCTGCAAATAGAACACAGGTAAATCACTTTGTTTTCAGGTACAGGTGAATTATCACTTAGGAAGATGGGCTGTTTGTAATTCACTTTTCCACTGGCCACCAAGGTCTGCAGAAACCCCATGACAGCGGAATCATCTTCCTCAGAGTCAGAAATACACTGTAATTCAAGTTACCATGGTGCCTTCAGGAGTTACATGTTGGAAAAACATGGTTTAGACTCTTAAGCAGCATTTTTCTTCTGCTGCAATCTCTACTCTTGAATTTCTGGATTCTCTTAAATTACATTCAATGCAATAATTCAGCTGTTGGCAACACCAGTTTTTTAACACTAATGATTATAGGTGGCATGAAACCCTTCAGCATGTAAATCTATTCTAAACTTCATTTTGATGTTATTACCTCACAACGTAATGAAATCCATAAAAACCACTGAGAAATTCTCCACAGGATTTCTGAGCAGCGTCCCAGGGAGTTTTTAGCACTGGTGCTGGGAGTATGTTTTAAAAGATTTTGTCAACTTGGAGAAGAAATTGGAGGAGCTGTTTTGCTTGGAGTTTTTGAATTTTGTTTTGTATCATTAATACTGTACTTTTTTTTAAAAAATAAAACCTTCCTTTGAAACCACTGATTTAATGGAAATTTACTGAAATCCAGATACCCAAGCAGAAAATTCCTAGGAAGCTAAAATGCTGTGTATACTTCTGGAAACAGAAAAAGGTGGTTTTAATATTTGATCACTTCGTATTTTTAAGAACCACACATATTTCTAGGCAAGCATATGCAGAAATACTTTGCTTTTTATTAGCCTGGGGCAAAAGAAAAAAAAGGAAGAAAAGGGTTTTGGTGAAAATGGAATCCTGGATGTCCTGGAGATGGGGAACAACATCTAACCTAGGGTAAGCTGAAGACCTTGAGGGATGATTAAAGAAACATTCTACAAACAAAGCAATTTTTAATATAATGTAATCCTTTGAGGAGACTCAATGTAGTAAAAGCTATTGAAAATACTATCATTAAAAAACAGCCTTTGCTAAATATAACATTGATTTAAACTAACATTGAGGAACAGATTGCAATTTCCTCTATTGGTATTGGGTGGCTTCCTGTAAGACCTTCCAATTATTATTTCCTTTCAAAGGGAGAAATACATTTTTGCAGAAACTGACTGGCTCTCAGAGAAGTTTTGGATTTAGGCAGTAAAGTGATATCCAGATGTGGATGCCATAATACATGATCTTGATGTTAATTCAAATTCCTGACTCTCTTTTCTAGTAAGAGATTTCTGATTTGTTATTATTGCACAATTGCATCCATCTCCTTCAACTCAATATTTTTTAAGGCAGTATCTTAAATATTAGTCAAAAAGAATAAACAAAATTTTCAAGGATGTTTTGGGGTATTTTTTAAATTATGTTTCTTGCATCCTTGTAGTGATCTACCCACAGCAGCCTGGAGCTTGGTAATTCCAATGGTCAGAGCATTTACCAAAATTCTCTGCTGCTTTTGGTTACTGGACTGGGCAGAACGAGAAGTTGGTGGCATCACAAAGATACCTTGAGGTTATTTATGAAATCCCAGCCTTGGTTGTTTAGGCTTTTATGAAAAGTTTAGTTTTTTATTAAATCCTTTTGGATCTTGGGACTGAAAGCACAAAACATTTCCTGGGATTGGAACTGCAAAACATGTTCAGAGCATTTTAATGCTGGAGTTGGTGGCCAAGTGGGGACTCCACATCAAAAAGTAGATTCTGGAAAGAAATGGATGATGGAGAGCATACAGTGACAAACCCACAACAGAAAAGGGGCAAAATTATGCTTTTTTTGCCAGATGAACCACAATTGTTGTTTGATTCCTGTTAGAGATTCTAGGATTCTGTTAAATCCCTGAATTAACACCAAAATTTCATTAGCTAAGCATGGTTGGAAGATGACATATTTCAACACTTTGTATGTCAGCCAGCTTATGATCAGATTAATTCTGTTAATAAATAAGACTTAAAAGATTTCTAGGAAAGAATGGCCTATAGTAATGTTCCCCTTCATCTGAAAAAATTTGAAACTGTTGTTCTTCTTTGTTATGTTTGAAAATGTTGAGAGGGGGAAAAAAAGTCAAAGTGTTTTATAGCCATAGCAGAACAAAGGGAAAAATTTTGGGGTTTAAATTGTCTGGGCTTTTGTGGGCATTGAGTATTCCTGACATCCTGTATTTGTTAAATGCTGCTGTATCTTGGAGCCAAAGGATCTGTTCCTCTGTGGAGTACTGAGGGTTTTATCAACACAGTGAATTTCCTCCATACAACTATAAAAAATACCAAATTTCTCTATCAAAAACCCTGTGTTTTTAAAAATTTGATGCATAAGGTAATTTTGCTTGTAGTTCTATTTAATCATCAGCCATTAATAAACATTGCTAATGTTTATTAGCAAATTCCACTGGTAACTACAAATAATATTCTTTATTAAAAGGAAAAGCACATTAGGTTTCTGGGAACATTAACTGAGTGACTGCAGCCCCACAGAGATATTTAATTTTTTGTCCTCAAAACACCTTTTGGAAGACCAGCATTGTATTCTGCCAGAACCAGGGTTGGAGTTGGTAAAAAATAAATAATTCTAATTTATTAGTTTAAAAATCCCAAGCAAAGGTAAATGTAAGTGGTTTAAATGCCCTTAATTAGTGCTTATTAAGGGAGGAGAGGCATCTGAGAGTACCCAACCTAAGCTGCCCTGATCTGGAGAAGAAGCATTTTTAGTCCTGTTTTAAAAGTGAGACAGAGGCAGGCAAAGCCTTGGCTTCAGCCAAGGGTTGTGGCAAAGGTGGAAATGAAGGCTGTAAAGAGTGGTGGTTCAGAAGGCTGTGACCTTGTGTGAGTGATAGCACAAAGGACATTAATTAGGGGAATAAAACCCTGAAAGCTTAGTGTAAACTCTAAATGGAAATCTAAAACTTAGGGTAAAGACATTGTGTCAAGGGTTTTTTGGTTAGGGAGTCTTGACTTGCTTTATTCCACTGAGGTGGCAGAATGAACCCCTACAACCTCCACCACCAGCTCAGAATAAATTTTATCAGCAGACCCACGTTACGATTTTTAAGATATTTTGTTGCATTTTCTATTTTGGCTTGGATGCAGGATTTTTTTTGTCGTTTTTGTTTGTTTTTTATTTCAGCTAGCAGTGCCTGTAAAAAGGAGGTCAGCATCTCACTGTTGGCACTGGCTCATGTCTTGTAAGACATCTGGTCAGAACATGCCCCACTGTTGGTGGTGGCTCTGTGGCCACGGCCGTGCCAAATGCTGTCAGTCACCGCAGAGCCTCGGAGATGTGCGTGTCACAAAGTTCTCCAGAGGGACTTCAAATCCTTCTAATTGCCTTTGTGCCTAAACATTACCATGATAAACCATTTGGCATGGTGAAAGAAAGACTTGTAAGGGACCATCGTGATGTTAAATACATGGAGTGCTTTTTCATGGATCTTTATTTCTTTGTCACTGACTTTAGCCTGTAATAACACTCATAACTCTGCAGTGGCTTTTATTAGCAGGGAATTACAAGGCACCAGCACTGGTGCTTTAGCTTTGGAAAGCAGACCTTAAAATTTACCAGGCAAATGACTTTATCTTGCTCATAGCTTCCTATGTTCTGTTTGATCAGCAGAGGAAGTCATGTCTTCTAAAAGAATGGGTAAATTAAATTTGCAGGTCTTTTATGGCTTTACTTTCTCCATTTCATGGGGTCCAAACTCTGAGGCACCTGTTTTTCACAGTCTTTGTTGATGTAAATAGTAGTTTCACCCAAATTCTGT